ATCAACAAGAACCGAGGGAGCATTCAGGCGTTTGCGGGGAACAAGAAGACATTCGACGACTGAGAAAATGGCCGTTGGTGACGTGGTAGGCGCTGATTGGTGTGGGGGGAAGGGGGGAGAAAGGGAGGGAAAGAGGGAGGGAGATGGGGCAGGTCGGACGTGGAGGAAAAGGGCGAGAGCGGAACGGGCCCATGCTGCCGGGGTGCGTCGAGGCGGGTGGGGGGAAGAGGAGGGTAGAGCACAAGCGGCCAGGGCGTGAAGGGAGGGAGGAAGTGATGAGCTTGGAGGGTGGTGGGAAGGTGGGTGGGCAGAGGCCCCATGCCGCGGGGTTTATTTTAAATAATGCTGCAGAAAGCAGGACCCCAGGAGAGCAGTGTGGAAGATGAAGGCGGTCGCCAGGGAGGAAACCCGCCGTGGAAAGGCGGAAGGCGTGGGGCCGCGGGTGGCGAGGATGTTGCGAGGAGGGAGGTTCGGCACCCGTCGCGCCCCCGGCTGCAAGGGCCTGACAGGTGACAAGGGGAGGCGGCTATGCGACGCACGGGGAGGCGCAGCAGCGGCAGCAGCCACGGCGCTGCTGCTGGTATGCGGACGGGGGCAGAAGAGGAGGATGAGCGACGGGAGGACGTGGAGGGCCTCGAGGGGGACAGAGGACCCGGAGATGGGCCGCACCCCTCCCTCTACCACGGGAGGGAAATGGAAGGAGATCCGCATGGGCCGTCCCCTTAGGTTTTAGGGTTCGTAGAAAGTGTGTAAGAGGAAAAGACGGGGAAGGCAGGAGGCGGGTAGAGCTGCGTCTGGAGCCTGTGTGTCGAAGAGAGTACTGGGAGGGAAAGGGAGGAGAAGAGGGAGGAAGAAAGGGAAAGGACCGAGAAAGATGGCGGGAATCTCTCCCGCAGGTCACGGGAGGCAGATATATGGGACTAGAGAAAGTGTCAAAGGTTTTTACTTTATTATTAATATACAAGTCTTCAAACTCGCGCACGCGTTTTACCCACCGAGCAAGCTTCCGCGCTGTTTCGTGCACCGCTTCCTTTGCCAACCGGCTCCATAATCCTCGCCACCTCTCTCCCTTTCATCCTTCCCCCTGGAAAAACGCACGCAAGGCCCCCCGGGCCCCAGGCACGTCTTCCAGGAACGGCCAGTGCCCCAACTCCTTCTCCCGCAATGTTACCCTCGCCATTGCCCTCCCTTTTCCTTCTCTTTCCCCTTCTTCCTCCCCCTCCAGCAGCCTTAGCCCCAGGTCAAGGTACCGGCGCCGCAACTCGACGGCAAGGTGGGCACCGGACACGGGGTCTCGACTTCCCCACTCAAAATGCACGCGGCCCTTGCCACCTCCGCCCCGCACCAACCAGTCCAAGCCCTCCTCCCACCGCGTTTGGTGCCTTTGTCGCTCCACCAGGTACCGGATCAGCAAATGGTAGTGCCGATAACCCTCCCTCCGAAGCACCCCGGTCCACATGTCATGGAGGAGGACGGCAGAAGGAGGGTGGGCCGGGGAGAAGACCCCGCAGATACCTTTGTTGAAGGTCCACTCGTTCATCAAGTACCGGCAAAAAAAAGGCGCGAGGGCCGGGACGAGGAGAAGGTTTTGAAGGAGCACGGGTCTGTGCAGGCGGGGGAAGATTCCCCCGTTGAACATGAACACGTCACGTATCACGGTCCTTTTTGTCTCCGTCCCTTGCTCGCTCCCCAGTTGCCTCGCCCGACCACGTGCTGCGAGTTCTTGTAATACAGTGTCGCCGAGATCGTGGCAAACGATGTGCGTTTCGCCGATGCCGAAGTGACTCCACAGTGCCTCAAGTAGATCTGCCTGGCTGAAAACGCTAAAATCTTCTCTTGCGATGTTTTGTCCTCCTCCTCCATCATCTCTCTGGTCTTTGCCTAGCGGCTCCTTGTCGGAATCACCGTAGCCCCACATGTCCCACAAAAGTAGGGTCGCCATGGGGGCCAAGGCGGGGAGCAGGGAGGCGAAATCGTGACTGGAAGTGGGAAATCCGTGGATAAAGGTGATGACAGGAGAGGACGGAGAACGCGAGGGCAGTGAAGAGAAAGAGAGGGACGTAGCTGCAGGATTCCCACGCGCGAAAAAATGTGCGGAAATGTTTATTATCTGCTTCTCAGCACCAGGCATGACGAGGGGCACCCGGGTGGCCGACGCAAACCATTCTTCTGCCGTGGGTGAGGCCGAAAAGTCTTGGCTTGCAGTCGACGAGGGCATTGTGTCTGGATAGCCAATGGAAGTGATTTAAAGAGTGTAAGGTCCACGCACATCTTACACCAGCGTTGCAAGTTTTTCCAATAATTATCCTACCCCTTCCAAGTACCTTCGCTCGATGTGCTCCTCCGGGTAGCTTGCTTCTGGCTACTGCAACTTCCACAAGGCCACTAAGGCGGGTGGGAAAGCTGGCTTGTTCGTGACTTATTTCTGAAGAGCTTTGCTTTCATTTTTTCCTTGATTATTCCTTGTTTCTTAGTTGTTTTGCACGCCAAATATTAACACTTTAGACCAAAAAACATCGTCATCTACTGAAAATTGTTCCGGCTTCCTATTTGAGCAAGTTCGGTCCTCGGCGTTCAAACATACATCTTATAGCTCGGTATAGAAAGGGACATTGTTGTACTCGAAAGTGCTCAAAATAAGGATGGGAGAATCTCTCAGAGAAAGTTCCCAGGTCCGTCGAAATGACCTATCCGGAAGTATATTCCTTTTTAAACGACAAATTCACAAGAAGGCACGCAGCCTTTGGGGACACTCAATATTTATCTTCACTTATGTCATAATGTTCTCATGCCACAAGTTGCCGATGAGCGCTGCTGCATTGAAATCGTGCTTTGCTGGATCGATGCTGCCCCTGGGGATTAAGCGTTAAGGATTTACGCTGTCGACTGTGGACTGGTCCATGGTGCCTTCGTGATATCATGACTGCGTTTGCAGCGACTTTAGGTCACCCAGAGAGTGGATAAGCCTGAATTGGATCATACCGTCTTTACACGTCACCAACGCAGCGCAATGTTACTCAGTGGTAACTATTCTTGAAGGGCATGCCGAAAATGGCTGGTTGTGTGCAGAGCAGGTGCTTATAACCAACATCTCACGCGTGCCATAATAGAGGTAAGACGCGCTTTTGAAAATGACGGACACTTGACTCTTGATAGATGCTCATTCGAATTCTGTGGCCTGTGTGGTGATCGTAAAGCTTGCACGCACATCGTGTACTCTGGAGCAATTCTATTTTCTTATATGTGTCCTGACATTGTTTTAAAAAGCCTCATAGACGCTTCCATACTCTATATTTTCACTTCTCGCTCGTCACTTGGCTTCATTGCCATTATATGTATATCTTTTCCATGCAAGAGGCTTCATTAAACAAGCCAGAGGATGTAGAGGAGGTTTTAGAGTCGACTCCATGGCTGTGGGCGCTGGCGATTCTTTATCAATATATTTGCCTTTCAGAACTCAAAAGCAAATAGACATTGTCAGTATTGTAATTTTGAGCGTGGAGGACTCGATAGAGAGGTGAGATATCTTATTTGTATGTCTTAGGTTGGTGGAACGGCGTGAGATTTGGTCTTCATATGTTTGTATACACATGACCATCACTGTTGAAGAGAACGTCGATTGATAGTGTATTCTGTGATCGTTAAAATATTTGACGAATCTCATAAGAATGAACGAACAAAGAAAAGAAATTATTTGAGGAGTCATTATTCTATTTACATTGCTTGAATGAGTGTGTTACTACGTGTCTTATCATGTGGCAGACAGGGCCAAGGCTCGTGCATTGAAACACTGGAATAAGACTTTTGAATAGCTTGAATGAACAATTCTCATTCAAAGACGAACGCTTCATTTGTGCAGGCGAATCGACAACAAATAGTTATCCGTGTGATAACCTCCTGCCTATGACCGTTAAGAACACGTAACGGTTTTGATTTTTGCAAGCTTATTAGAACTTTCGTGGTAATGCTATGTGATGTCTTACTCATCAATGTACACGTATGGTTTCACGTCCTGCAAAGAATAATGTTCTTATCCAAAGGGAAAACATGCCTGACGAAAGAGATAATAGTTATGGGCTTTGCACCCCGTACCCAGCAAAGGCAAAGCTCTTCGAAAATTGTGCTGATGGGACGTTCCGAAGAGGACTGTCCCTTCTTCAATGAGATTTCCCTAAGCGCAGACTTTTCGTCATCTTCATTATCCACGAGCAGCACTGATGCTCATGTGAGCTCTTCCTTAAAAGGCATGAAGGCAAAGGCTAAGTTGTTGGCCTTGTGGTCGGCACAGGAAGTACGCCTATATCAATTGGATTTCAAAACACTGCCCTCTCTTTTGATGTCCTTCAGCTTCACCAAAAAGATTCTCTCCGTCACTATTAATGAAACATGTCTATTTTTATGTAAGCTTAATGAAACTAAAATCGATGCATACCGTACATTGACCTCGGAACTCGGTGCAACAGAAGTCACAAAGCTGGACGATTCTGTACAGTTCAATGCCCAAGAGGGCTGTCCTATATTACTGGATATACAAGGCAATATACTTGCAGTGATAACAGAAAAACATTTCTTAGCGCTTTTCAGCATGGAAAACAAAAATTTTCTTCAAAGATTGGGCAATTCAGAGCGCTTAGTTTTTTCTGAAGAGGAAGAGGTGGAGCATGGTGACGATGTGCGCTCTGGAAAGCCGATATCGATGCATATGAACACAAACGCCACGCTTATAAGTTTTATTCTCACCGAGTCTGATCAATCGTCTCCAGACCCTCTCTCCAGCTTTCCTTCACGGTTTTGTATCTATGACGTGACTCGGGGCGCGGCCTGCCCTATCCCGGGATTACCCTCCGAGGCGCTTGTAATCGACCACTTATGGGATACGATGGAGCCCAATATTCTTGTTTGTGTTTGCAAAATGAAATCAGACCAGCCTTTGCGCGACGTGCTTTCAAGCTGTGCGGGGATGAACGCCCGCAAATCATGTAGCTTGTCAGGGGAGGAGGAAAGTCTAGAAGAATATGCTACGGTCGTCACTTTGTTCGTCTCGCCCGAAGACGCGCAAGTAATTTGCATGGACTCATTTCCTCTTCCTGTGGCGGCTGGAGATCTTTTGGAAGTCAATGCACCATACGTATATTTTTCCTCGTCATCGATCCCCAGTCCCCCCACTCCGTCCACCCCCCCTTCGTCGCTTATTTTTGCGCAAATAATGCCAAGTTTTGCCGGCTTGAGTTACGAAAATTTCTCTCTCCACGCCAAATCGTGCCTCAAGGCCTTTCACTTCCAATTGTTTTCGCAAGACTGGCACGCGGCTCACCAATCTTTGAGAATCATCTTTCCTCAGCGGCAACCCGATAGCAAGGCGGGAAAAAAATGCCAGAACGAGGAGCCCAACGACCACAACCAACAACTGCGGAAAGAGGGGAATTGTAAGCAACAGCTACTCTGCATCTGGCGCAACATGGCTCATCTCTCTTTACGGAATCGTCGCGTTGAAGTCGCCGAGCACTGTTTAAGCTACATGGGCCACATCCGAGGTGTGCATGCCGTTCGAGAAGCTGTATTTAGCCCCTCTCTTTACCCCTCCCTTCCTTCCTTGACCTCCTCCACGTGCTCTACGGACATTCCCCTTGCGATGGTTGCCATCCAGCTTGGCCTGCTCCAGGAAGCAGCTGCTCTTTACATCCGTGCAAAACGTTTCGATCTCCTCAATCGCATGTACCAGGCGGCAGGAAAATGGGAGAAGGCTTTACAGGTAGCTGAGAAAGATGATAGGTTACATCTTCGCACAACCCACTTTCAGTACGCCCGGCGCTTGGAAAGGATGAGTGAATGGGATAAGGCGATCTTTCACTATGAGAAGGCAGGAGCACAGGCGCGGGAGGTGCCAAGGATGTTGCACAAAGCAGGAAAAATCGAAGATTTGGAAAAATACCTGTCGAGACAGAAGTCGACAGTAGCAGACCGAGAATCTGGAGACGCAAAGATGCTTTGGCGTTGGTGGGGAAGGTATTGTGAGTCAAAGAGAGACGTAAAAGCTGCAAAGGAGGCGTACCGGAAGGCGGCAGACCTGGTGGCTCTGGTGAGACTCGCCTGCGTTGCCCAAGATGTGGGTGCTGCAGAAGCGTTGTTGGATGACAAAGATGCCGGGGGATTACATCAAGGTGAAATATCCTGGAGACAGGCCTCCAACCACGCAATGAAAGCCGCGGCTTCCTATCACCTCGCCCGTCACTATGAGGGAGCCCTCTACGATGTTCTTCCCGCTCTTACCCACTACGCGCGTGCAGGATGTTTCAAGCACTGTATACGTTTAGCCAAGGCGCATGAGCTCGACAATGACGTCATGCAATATGCCTTACAAAGCGGGCAGGCCGACCTAATGCAAGATAGCGCCCAATATTTCCTGAAACTGGACCAGAGTGAAAGAGCACAGGAGTTGATAGGCAAGGCCAGAAAAATGCGAGAATCTTGACCCAGGGAGATGTTGTGAATTTAATTAAAAAAGGAAAGTAGTTCAAAACAAAGAAGGAAACGATAAATGCCGGATTAAGGGAAGTTGACCCAATCGTCATGACACTCCGCGGCATACTATGTTCTGCCAGTCTTAGTGTTATTAAGCCTACTTTTATTGCTCATCGCATTCCTTACCAAGAAAAGAATTTACGCATGTTTATAGTCGCCCAGAGAGCCATACAGACAAAGTACAAACGTCAAAAATCAAACTTAACATATGATTCTGAATCCTATTTCAAATCGCTATCATCTCCGCTCATCTGAGTCTCCGAAGTAGAGATGTGGTGATCCTCTCCTTCCTCTCCCAGCATATGCGGAAGTTACAACGGGATTGGGAGATTTTGGAGATTCTGGAGGTAGATTAGGGTGTATTGGTCGTTTTTGAGGCATTGGTGGCTTGTACCGCTGCTGCGATGGCGACGAATGATGGTGGTCTGGCAGCTGGGCGTGACGGTGGTGCTGACGTTGTCGTGGTGGCTCTTCCATTCTTTGAGGGTGGTTGGGAGGTGGTGGGGTTTGTTGTCGCTGTGGTTGCGATGGGTGCACCGGCCTGGAAGGACGTGGAGGCGGGGATGACGGAGACGACGAGCGCCCCGCCGGGCGGGGTTGAGGTCGGGGCGGTGTGGGGGCTTTGGACCCTCCAGGCCGGCTCCGGGGGAGGGCGGGAGGAGGGGGGCCGGATCGTATACGTGGCTGTTGGAGTTGTTGCTGTCTTTGCTCGTGTTGTCGCTGCTGTAGTTGTTCCTGGCGCTTGCGTTGCTTTTCGAAAAGCTGCTGCTTCTTCAGCTCGAGCATTTCTTCCCGGGCGTGCAAGAGCGCAATCCGATGTCCGTCCAACATGGGTAAGCGTCGCAAGTCTTTTTCCGTCAGAAGAATCAATTCCTCGTGCAAGTTCAGGCCAAGCCGGTCATTGAAGAGCCGTACGTACGTTGTCAGCAACGGGTCGTCCAGGGACCAAAACTCGAACAAGGTAAAAAGGAAGTGGTGGAGCTGGGGGCGGGATGTGGGGGGGG